TGAACACTGAAAAATATTTCTGAAAAAATTAAAGAAGATCTAAATAAATGTTCATGGACAGGAAAATTCAAGACCATTAAGCTAACAATTTTTCTAAAATGATCTACATAATACCCATCACCAGGCTAACCCATCCCCCCACCCCCCTCTAAAACCCTCAGTTTGTTTCTCAGAGTCCATAAATTAAGGCGGGCACGTACTGCATGGAGCACTGGGTGTTATATGAAAACAATGAATCATGGATCACTACATCAAAAACTGTTGATGTATTGTATGGTGACTAACATAACATAATAAAATAAAATTAAAAAAATAAAACTAAAAAAATAAAATGATCTACAGATTCAATGCAATTTCAATGAAAATATGAACAGGTATTTTTGTAGTAATTGACCAGTTTATTCTAAAATATATGTAGAAATGTAAATTAAAGTCCTGGTATAGTGAAAAGGTTTTGTTTTTTTTTTTAAGGAGACAAATTTAGAGGATGGTGTGACTTTATAACATATCATAAAGCTACAATAATCACTGCCATATGGTATGGTTCAAGGTTGACATATAGATAAAGAAATAGTCTGGAAATAGACCTGTATATATATGGTCAAAGATGCTAGGTAAGTGAACAGAGAAAGAACAGTCTTTTATGGGGGGTGGTGAGAGGCAGAAGGAGAGGGAGAGAGAGAATCTTAAGCAGGCTCCATGCTCAGGAAGAGCCCAATATGGGGCTCTGTCTCATGACCCTTAGATCATGACCTGCGCTGAAATCAAGAATCAGATGCTTAACCAACTGAGCCACCCATGTGCCCCAAAAGAACAGTCTTTTAATGATGTTGGAATAATAAAATATCCATGCAAAAAAAAAAGAACCTCAATCTTTGCCTCACACTGTACCCAAAAGCTAATTTGAAAGAGACCATAGATTTAAATGTAAAAGCTAAACATATAAATCTTTTAGAACAAAATATAAGAGAAAATCTTCACAATTTGAAAGAGTAGGCAAAAGTTTCTCAGATACATAAAGTGCTAGTCAAAGTACGTTTTTGAAAAATTAGACTTTATTAGAATTAATATCTTCTGATCTTCAAAAGATGCCATTAATAAAATGAAAAGGTGAGTTATAAGCTGGAAGAAAATATTTGTAAAACATATATCTCACAAAAGACATATCCAGAATATATAAAGAACCCTTAAAACTCAATAACAATACAAATGATCTACTTTAAAAGTGAGGAAAAGATTTGAACAGATACTTCAAATGAAGATATATGAAGATACATGAACGACATATAGCAAGATGCTCAATAAAATTAGGCATCAGAAAAAGAAATTAAAATCACCACATACCCACAAGAGTGGTAAAAATTAAAAATACTAACAATACCAAGTATAGACAAGGATGCAGAGCAATTGAAATCCATACTTCATTGGTAGGAATAAAAAAATGGTAAATTCCTTTCAGAAAACAGTTTGGAAATTTCTTTAAAAAATAAATACACTTATTATATAACTCAGCAATTCTACTCCAAGTTATTTTCCAAAAGAAATAAAAATATATGTCAACAAAAAGCTCTGGACACAAATGTTCACGACAGCTTTATTTGTAATAGTCCCAAATTGTCAACAATCCAGATGTCCATTAGAAGGGTAACGGATGAAACAAACTATGGTATATCCATACCATGGAAAACTATTTGACAGTAAAAAGGAACAAAAAGACTATTTATACACAGAGAGGGAGGCAAACCCTAAGAGACTATTAACTCTAGGGAACAAACTGAGGGTTGTTGGAGGGAGGTGGGTGGGAGGATGCGGTAATTGGTCGATGGGCTTTAAGGAGCACACTTGATGTAATGAGCACTGGGTGTTGTATGCAGCTGATGAATCACTAAATTCTACCCCTGAAACTAATAATATACTATATGTTAACTAAAGTGAATTTAAATAAAATCTTAAAAAAAAAAAAGACTGATAGGCAAAGACCACGGATAGATCTCAAAAAATTATGCTGAGTGAAAGAAGACAGACACAAAAGAATACATTCTGTATTATTGCATTTACATAAAATTCTGGAACAGGCAAGACTAATGTATAGTGACAAGAAGCAGCTCAGTGTTTACATCCAGCCAGGGATGGACATGGGATATAGTGGCTGTAAAGAGGCACATGAGCAAGAGAGAGCAACACTGGCAGAAAGAAGCTGGAGGAAAGGGCCAGAGCTCTTCAAACACTAGGTTGCTTGGAGCTGCCTGGCCTAGGACTTCTCTATACAAAAGATGAGGGATAGAAACTACCATTTGAGCTATTCACTGAATTACCAAGCCACTCCCCAAACTAAATATACTTTAGGCAGACTTTAAAAAGAAAGATTATGATGTGGGGGAAGGTAGTGAGATTAGTGAGAACCACAATCACTTCCTTTTCCTGTTTTGAGTGATCTCAGCTCTGCAGCTACTGTTCTCCTCTCCAACTTCCCTCTCCTTTCCAAAGCCCTTAGTGATTCCCATTTGACCTTAAAAATTGGCTTAGCCCACACTAGCCAGAGAGAATCCCAGAATATTAGAGACTTACTAATGGAAAGTCCTCTAGAGGTCTTTTTGATCCCAGTGGGAAAACGGAGAATCAGAGAGAAAAAGGGACCTGTCCACTGTTACCTGGCTAGTTACTAGCAGAGATAGGGCTTTTACACCTTGGTAGGGTGGGTAAATGGGAGGGGAGTGGGTTTTTGTGTAAATGTCTCCACCATTTTTGTTATCATATAGAGATCCAGTTAGGCTAATAAGGTAACGTCCAAAGTCACTACATTTTACAATTCCAAGAGTCAGGAGTCAGGGTAATGGATATACTGAATTGTGTAACACCACAGTCCAAGTAAACACCACTTAGGAAGAAGAAAGACTGTCATTTTTTTACAAGTTTATGCTAGGTTTTTAGGAATAAAATCTGATTTAAACTAACCTATAGTAACAAGAAAGAGACGTATTATTGAGCTGCTTAAGAGGTGCTAAATACTGCACTAGAAAGTTGATACATGTTAGCCCATTGAATTCTAACCATATTCTGCAGGGTAGCCATTATTATCCCCATTTGATAAACAAATAAACTGAGATTTGGAGACATTATATGTCTAAATTCACATCACTTGTAGCTGCTGGGCTGTCCACTGAACCTAAATCTATCTGATACCTAAACTCAAGCTCTTTCTATAAGATCATGGCAAAGATTTAGGAGTCTTCCTTAAAATGTTCTGCTCCTACTATGCATGAGACAGGCACTGGTTGGGGAAAGGTACAAGGAGGATTTGTATCCTCCTCTTAACAGTTCTCAGGATATTAGGGCTGAGTAGCCTTTACTCAGGAAAGGATCTTTTTTTTTTTTTTTTTAATCTATGAGCCTGCAAAGGACATCAAGAAACTTCCTCCATGTCCCTGTTCCATTTTTTTCATCTTTCCAACTGCTTCCAGAATTGCCTGGTTTGTTTAAGAACAATATTCATGGGCGCCTGGGTGGGTCAGTTGGTTAAGCGACTGCCTTCAGCTCAGGTCATGATCCTGGAGTCCCAGGATCGAGTCCCGCATCGGGCTCCCTGCTCGGCGGGGAGTCTGCTTCTCCCTCTGACCCTCCCCCCTCTCATGTGCTCTCTGTCTCTCTCATTCTCTCTGTCTCAAATAAATAAATAAAATCTTTAAAAAAAAAAAGAACAATATTCATTACATTTACATAAGATAAATCATTATGTCTGATCAAACAGTGCATAGTATTGAATATTATCAAATTATATAAACATATGCCAAGTTTTCATAGTGCATTGTTTGTGCAATGTGGTCATCCATTGACACTTTAAAATCTAGGGGGAAAAGAGGTAAAAACACTGTTAGAGTGTGTGTGGGTAGTTAAAATGGAGTTTTAAGCTATATTAATTTTGTCAATTTGTGTGTAATTGTTAATTTTTGCTTTTTTATTTTTGCTCTTGTTATGCTGCTGATTGTGTCTACCTTTGACATTCTGATACAATCCAAAGCAGACAGCCCTGGTTAGATGATCCTGAACAATCCATGGAGGAAAAGAGGGAATCTTTCGATGTGAATATACAATATATACCACAGAAACCCTTGGATATGTCTAAAGTTCCTTCTCTCTTATAGTATGAGTGTTTTGTTGGTTTGCTTTTATTTCTTTTTTTTTTTTTTAATTTTATTTATTTATTTGACAGAGAGAGACACAGTGAGAGAGGGAACACAAGCAGGGCGAGTGGGAGAGGAGAAGCAGGCTTCCCACGGAGCAGGGAGCCCGATGCGGGGCTCGATCCCAGGACCCTGGGATCATGACCGGAGCCGAAGGCAGCCGCTTAATGACTGAGCCACCCAGGCACTCCATGGTTTGCTTTCATTTCTGATAAAATATTAGGTTATGACTTTTAAGACCCCTAAACACCATTACTAAAATAGTTTTAATCAACAGGTTTTCCAAGTGTGACATTTCTTCATATTACCTTTCATGGTTTCCAGCTTCTGTCAAGTAGCCAAATACAAATTTTTATTTTAAAAATCATCCAGGCCAGGTATGGGACCTAATATTGTCCTCTTCTTACAATATTTATTCTGAGTTATTTACCTTGATGTTTTACTGAATCCTTCTTGTCCCATCTGAAGTCACCTACATTCTAGACACATATTTATGTGGATATAAAGTGACACAACCTCAGTATATGAGCCACTTCCTCTCGGAATCTCTTATAATAGACCCACTGGGAAAATAACATAGTTGTCAGAAATAAGAGAGAGAATAAGGTTGAGGGGATAAGAGGAGAGACATGAAACAGAAATACACAATGATACACATAGAGACACACAGGGACAGATTTGAGAAACAACAAACACAAAGACACATAGACATTAACTCCCTCCTCTCCTCCTTCTTCCCTCACCTTCCCCTGAGTTTCCAAGATTTCCTCAGGCTCCTCCCACACCCTTTTCCCATTCCCCAGTCTTTTTGGCACCTACTTGATATGCTCTGTGCGTCCAGAGCCCTCAATGGTCTTGGCTCCCCACCGTTGCTCCTTCTCAGAGATGTCATTCTGCAGAAGACAACATTGAGCAATAAGTGATGGCAAGAGATGTGCCACATGGAGAGAGGCCATGCAGCTGGCGCACATGCCCTCCAGGTCTCCTGCATCTCCTGCCTCCTTTTTACTTTTTGTAAAAGTAAAGTTAGGGTCTTTACTCAGGATCTTTACTCAGACTCCTCCCTCTATTTACCCGACCCTGCCCCCCACCATGTGAACATTAAACTGCTGGGCTCCGAAACCTCCCTTTCTGCTCCCTTCAGGTTGTCTACAACTACTGAATCCCCACAAATTACACGGGTCTAGCTCACATCCTGGCTCACAGGCCAAAGGAGACCCAGGTTAACCTGCCTGTTGATAACCTCACCTTCACCATAGCTTGTAATAGCCCCTCAGTCACAACGTCAAACACCTCTGCCCCGTCCCCTTCCATCCTCAACATCAACTATCATGCATGCCCCACTCATGACAGCCAACTGTCCTACCAGTCAGTTCTACCATTAGGGCTATTTCAGTCCCAGATTGTCCTTTCTAAACCCCCTCAAAGATGACAGAGTGGCCCACATGCCCTTCCCTCATCCCCCCACTTAAACCTTTTATTGATTTTCCAAGCAAAGCTATTCCCAAACTCACCACAAAGTCAGGGTCTGTGTCCCAGTCATCACCCTGGGTCTCCACAGAAACAGATACATCATGCCCTACTACAGACTTCCACATCTGAGGGTGACAGAGATGGGAATGATTAGGAGGAGAAAATCAAGAAGAGGGAAAACAAGAATGCTGAAGTCAATGATACAGCAGTCCAGTAGTTTTGCTATTTTTTCTTAGAATAAAATAGAAGCTGAGGCAAAGCAGATGTAAGTTTTAGGAAAATACTTTTGCTCAGTTACAGGAGTGGGGAGGAGGATTTATTCAAGCTAAACTAACATGGCCTAAGCCTACTGAGTCTGGGTATAGGTAATGTTAAATGTTGGTAATGTAGGTAATGTTAAATAACCTTTAATGTTAAATAAAGCGCGGGGATCATTCATTTGTGTCCCAAGGCTAGTTGGGCAGTGGCTTGAAGTGGCAACCAATGACGGGTACTAGGGCAACCCTAGAATTATAGCACCATCCCACTCAGGTTTCTGTTCATGACTCCTGTTATAGCTGTTGAAATGTGTATTGGTCCAGCTCTGAATAAAGTGAAAACCTACACTCCTCTCTACAACCTGCATAATTCTACCAAGAAAATCCCAACTCCAGTGCAAGTTGCTGTCCCATCTCCACTCTAAGAGCAGCTACTGAACAGGTGCATGAGGTCAGTAGGGCAGTCAGCTGAGACTCCTATCCTGAATAACACATAGGGAAGCATTATTTGCTGGGAATGAATCACCTATTCTTTAATTTTTAAAAACAGTTCAATTATATTTCTAAGGAAGATAGCTGGTTCCCCCAAAAGATAACATGTAATGAATCCCTTATTTTGAACATTAGGAGTTATTAGATTTTTATTAACTAAGTAAACAATAAAGAAATATTTAGAGAACACTAGTATGAAGGGGAGCCAAATTGTTATTCTACTGTGGCATCCCCAGTGTTTCCACTGGCCCTGCCAATTATGCATGAGGAGCAGCAAGTTGCTCTGCATCTGTGGGATCCTGGATCTCCGCGTGAAGAGGAAACAATGGATAATGCTTATCTGCTTGGGGGACCCTGATACCACTTGCTAGCTGGCAACTCCCGTACTGATCCTTCCCTGGACTCCTCATTCCACTGGTGTCTTTTCCTAAGCTCTTTTACTGTCTTCTAAATGAGTTCCTCTTAACTGCTCCTAGGACTCCGTAGTGTCTCCATACAGGCCCTCAGAGTCTCCGATTTTCCTTTCTACATGAAAACTCCATCTTTCTCCACACTCTTTGAAAATCCCCTTGGAGGAGTGCCTGGGTGGCTCAGTTGGTTAAGCGTCTGCCTTCGGCTCAGGTCATGATCTCACGGCCCTGGGATCAAGTCTCACATCGGGCTCCCTGCTCAATGGGGAGCCTGCTTCTCCTCCCTCTGCCTCTCCCCCTGCTTGTGCTCTCCCTCTCTTTCTCTCTCAAATAAATAAATAAAATCTTTTTTTAAAAAAAGAAAGAGGATCCCCTTGGAAACTAGCCCAGGGAAATTAGGGGGAAGGTTGATTAAAAAGATGCAAAGAGGACAGTGGAGAAGTATCGACTGAATCAGCTACACTGTGGGATGAGTCCCTGCCCAAAACAGCTCTGCCTTCCCCTGTGGGGCAACAATTATGGATGGGAGAGCAGGTAGAGAAGGCCTATGGTCCTGGCTTCTGGGCTGCTTTTTGACAAAATGACTTCACACAGAAAACTGGAAAGGAGAAGTTTCTGAAATATTCATGATCAAAAAGGAAGCAACTAGGACTGATGGTCTTCTCCTCTTTCCTGCTGATCCTCTGAGGCCTCAGCCTAACTCACCCAAAAAAACCTCCCATCCTCATGTATTTTTGAAATAAAGGGAAGTTTCTGATACAGAGACTATTTGGTGTCCTTGAGCTACTGGCTATAGGAAAGCGAGAGGTGCTATTAGCAGTAGGAGACTGGGGAATAAGTTGGTGAGCAACGGTGCCCAGGACTGCAGGCACAATCAAGGGCCTCATCACAAGGCTACCCTACAGCGTCAGTAAAGTACATGGACCTTGAGTCAGAAGGTCACCACAGCTCTGTTACTAAGCCCCTGTGGTAACAGGGGTAAGGGAATCAACATAAGGTATGTACTTACTTGTCAGGTACCAGGGAAGGCAATTTAAAATGCTAATTTGGTAAATCATTGAACAACTTGGATGCTCAGTTTTCCCCAGTGGAAAATAAATGAAGAGGTTAACCTAGCTAATCCACCCAGTCCCCTTCATTTCTGACATTCTGGGATTATGTGATCCTACAATCACAGAAGCTAGCCCTCATCCAACCGTCATGCCTTCACTGGGCCTCCATCTGCCTTGGCGCTCAGCACTGGTGCACAGAAGCAACTACTTCCTGCTCTGTCACAATGTCTCCTAGTGAGTTTTGTCTCTCTGCTAGACCCTGTGCTCTCTCTGTCTTCATCTCCTGTGGTCCTCCTCCCATCTCAGTGCTTAGGAGCAACAGGCTTTAGGAGGGGGTTGTAGATTGTCAGCAGAAACTAGGGGTCCTGAATGGCTGCTGAATCCTGTGCCCTGGGCTCCAGACCCTCATTTCCATTTCCATCCCCAGATGCTCATTACCCACAACCACTCACCGCCAGGCCTCTGGCCATAAAAGCTTAAGAGCCTATTAGCAAGGACTTCATCTCTCACGGAGGACTAAGAGCCAGGTAGGTTCCTCTTAATTCAGCTCTTGCCCTGCGCTCCCTGACTTTCCCACTGCTCAGAGTACCCACCTCCAGTAGTGCGAGTGTCTGCTCTAAGCTCCCAGCTTTTCACGTCGTCGTCACTGGGCTCCCACTCTGTGCTGCCACTTCAGAGCGAGAGACTCTGAGCTGCTGCCTCAGTTCCGTATTCAGGTTTTCTGTCATTTCCTGATACCCTGTCCTCACAGCTACTTCCTGAAGTTTGAGTCAGTTCCTTCTGCTTAGGCACTTAAAAAAAAAAAAAAAGGATTAAATGCTTCTGTGCCTAATCTTTTGCAAGGCTCTGAGAGTCACGGGGAAGTTATAAAAATGCTGCTCTTACTCTTAGAGTTTATATCTGGTCGGGCAAGCAAAACATTCAACCAGAAAACACAGAAAAGAAGGTGCAGAGCAGCATTCATGTCCGAAATAGGTGGCAGTTACATGGGGTACGGTAAAGGAATTTGTGGTGAAAGTAATTTGGTGTGGGGTGAAGTAATCAAGAAAGGCTTAATGGGAGAAGTGATTTTTATGCGGATTTTGAAGGGTAAGATTTAAAAAGAAACTCACTTCTACATTACCCATAGCACTTAAAACCGGGATTTGCATACAACAGTCAAATAAACATTGATCAGTTGAATGGTGGAAGACAGTAAGTCGCAGGGGAAAGGGAAGACATGGAGAGAGAAATTTTCAGATTGTTTAGGGGATAGTGAGGAATCTGAGCTAACCAGTAGAAAGATCTGGTTCCAGTTAGCAGAAGAAAGTCTGGAAGAACTAGATAGTACCACATGTTGGAAGGTCTTTGTGGCATTTGGTATTGCTGTTCATCAAGATTTGCTGCCCCTCCCTTCCCTCTTGAAGTCAGACTTGCTCAGGTGACTTACTCTGGCCAATTAAATGTGAGAAGTGAAATACATCACTTTCTGGTGGAGACTTTAAGATCAGTGCAAGCTTTGTCATGCTCTTTGGCCCACTGTTCACCAAGGCAAACTGCTGTTCTTGAATGGCTCCTCTGGCAGCCTGGGTCACCAAGTGACAGGGTCCCCAACTGAGAATGATGACAACACAAGCAGACTAAACAGTAATCTTTGCTGTTTTAGCTACTAAAAATTGGGAGTGTTTTTTACCGTATCTGACCTAGTCTAATCTAAGCCTGATGATGTACAGTTCTGACCTAATTTGCTCAGTTTTAACTTCCCCAATGGACTCAAGCAGAGACTAGATAAAAGTGGTCTAAGATACAGCAGAAGTAATTTCTGCATTAGAAATTAAGACTTTAGTCACTTCTTAAGGATTCTCTGCCAGTTTGGTGGGGGGCGGGGGCAGTAGTAGTGTCTTTACTCATCTTTCCTACTTCATGACCTCTTATGGCAGTACCACAATTATTTTAAGGAACAGTAAATTTGAGGGGGGAAAGATTTTTAGATCATTTGTAATCCTAATTCGGTGTCAAAAATGGGAATGATCAGGCCAGATACTGTGACACACCATCCAGATACAATTCTCTAGAGAAACCATAGAATTTAATCAGAGATGACACCAAGAAACCCTAGCTTTCCTTAGCAAATGTCCCATGTTCATTTCTAATGAGACAGCGAGGTGTACAACATAGAAATAGCATGGGCTTTGAAGCCAGAAAACCTTAGTTCAATTCACTTACTATACTTTGATAAAGTAAGTTAGCTTTTCCTAAGCAGCAACTGAATATAAAAATAAGTGATGTTTATTCTGCTATACCCTATTAGACTTCCCTCCCCCCACTCCCACCCAGAGGGATCCTTAGGGGCCTAATGTTTTCAGTATACACAGATAAGCATTCTCTAAGGGCCAGGCATGAACAGCATGAATCTCAGGCCCTAAGGCCTAGTTTGTTTGGCTCAGTATTAGAATGAATTTCCTCATTCCACTTCATCACCCCGGTCTAGGGGCTAAGACTTAGAATGACACATGCAGCCATTAACTGGTACTGGCCAGGGAGAAGGAAGCCTGAATAGGTAGAGTTTACTAACCCTGAATCCATTCCTGGCTGCCCCACCCCCCTTCCCCTATCTACCTTTCTTCTCCAGCATGCAAGCACTTGAACATAAGCACCCGTGTATACATCCATTCATACACATGTACATACCACAATTTTTGAGTCTGAAAATAATTTTATTATTTTACAGTTGTTCAGGAAAATTCCTGGGTTGCTATGACCAAGATTTGGTCACTGCAGAACAAAGGATCACAGCAGATCAATCAGTCCACCAGTTTTCTCTTCTTTGGGTGATAAGAGCAGGCAGGGAACACACCATGTGCATGAGAAAATAACCAGCAGGTAAGGTTGGGGGAAGGGGAGGCAAGGAACAGGCATAAATGGAATTCAATCCTGGCTGCCATTCTCAGCTTAGGTTTAGAAATGCTGTCTTCTCTATATTCACCCTCCACTTGCCTCAGCTCTGTTACATAGAGGGATGACTATGGGCTGAGAAAGTGGAATAACTGTCACGAGTAGCAGAGTAGCTGGGTACCTCCAGAAGCCAGGCGTGGTCATCAGGCCAGTCAGATCCCCCCAGTGGTAGTCAGTGTCCACCCAGGACTAGCTCTGAGTATACTGCTTCAGGGCCGGCATTCGAGGCATGCCCAGACAACACAGGAATGACAAGAATCTGATTCCCACCATCCATAGCCAGTTCTTCCTTTCAATGAAGGGAAAAGCACGGGCCATTTACTACCTCAGGATACATGGGATCAAGGGCATACACAATAGGATCCTATCCTTATAGTCCAGGACCACAAATCTAACTCCAGTGATGTATGAACAGCCAGGGAAGGAGACGCTGTCCGACCCTGTGATCCGGCAGCCAAAACCCCCGGAGAGTTGTTCAGCTCCCACCCTATTTTGCAGGAGACCTAATCAGCTACTCTATGAGATCCTGTTCCCCAGAACTTCGTTTATGGCAGGTCTACTTTCCCTCTGAAGCAGGAGGAAATGTAAGGTAAATGAGGCAAAGAAAGTATCAATTGAAATGATACTGGACTACAGATTATTAGGTTTATTAGAACCATCTTCTCAGCTAAGAGACAGTCCTCAGCATTTTTCACAGGACCACAAAGAATCAGGGCCCTAGAAAATGTGAACAAATCCCAGGCTCAGCGAGCAACTGTGTGGCCTCCTCAGATTACGCAGAAGTGTTCAGGCCCCGGGCGGTAGAAGAAAGGAGACTCGCTGGTCCCTGCAGCTCCGCCCTGGGCTCACATCCACCTCTGTTTGTGCAGGCACTTTCTGTGGAGAGTTGGAGACAGGACCTGTAAGTGGGAAGACTGTTCCACTACAATCGATGGTTTTGATGTTAGAGATGAGGGAATTCCAAGTTCTGAGGGGAGTGGTCGAAAAAGTGAGAATTCAGTTTATAGATGGCCTGTGAAACATAGAATGAGCAGGACGTGAACCATCAGGAAGTAGATGGCAGCTAGCAGTGGCACTCGGGTCCGGGAATGACAGAGTGAACGCAGGACCCGCTTCCATCCAGCACCACTCCGGGTCTGAAAGAAAAATTTGAAAGTCAGAGAGTTTTACCCTACAGGGATATGTCCCTTTCCCTTCTCCAAACACTGTGGGAAAGAGGTATCCCGAGAGAAAGTCCCCCTCAGGGTCACTTGGCCAGCTCCACTAGGTTCCTCCAACTCTGAGATCCATCAGTGCCTGGACTTCCCCCTTCCTTTTCCTTGACCCCCTGCCCTCGATGCAGCCAGCCCTATGCGACAGTACAGTCTCCTCTCTTCACGCTTCTCCCCTTCTTACCCTTCGACAGGTGCTGCTCGTAAGATCTATTAACAGTGCGTGCTCCTGACTGCCGCAGGAGCCGATGATGGGAGACCGGGCAGAGTCCCAGTCACTGGGCTCCAACCTGTGTTGAGAAAGAAAAGAGGCATGGCTTGGCTCCCAGCATGAGCAGCTGCTCAGGTGAAGTCTTCCGCGCCATCTTGCCGTGTGGCGTGGCAAGAGAGACCTGCAACAAAGGCTGCTCCCACAGTTCCTGCCCCTACACGAGCAGGGTGCAGGCGGAGCAGTTTCTCTCTGCAGCAGAGAAGGTGGCGCTAACTACTAGGAATGGATGCCTACTACGTAAGAGATGCGGGATTGGGTGCTGTACGTACATTTCTTCAAAGTAAGGCTGAGAGCGGTGAGATGTCGTGCCCATGGTGGCACAGACAGTAAGAGGTAGGGCCAGAATTCAAAACCCAGGTTTGTCTCTCTCTAAACCTCTTGTTCTTTTCTTCCAATACATGAGAGAGACTCATTCTATTCTTTTTCATTTACTAAAGGCTAACCGGCAAAAGCATCCAAGAACGCATTTTGTGGGGTTCTTAGAATTAAACTCAACTGGCAGCCTTTACTGTTCTTCTTCATTTCTTGCTGATTTGTTTAATACTGGAACTTCTCCACTTACTGAAAAAGCTGCCCTATCCACTCAATGGTTTCTTGCAAGAGCATTAACTGCATCAAAGGAGCTGCAGGTAACACAGCACATCTGATCAAACATTTGCCTGCAGGGATGCACTTTTTAACTGTGCTGGGGAGGATGGAACTCTTCCGCCTCCATATGAAGGGATGTCCATTAGCCTAACACTCCTGGCCTCTCTTTGCAAGTCACAGAGTTTTCTCCTGGAGAGAAAGAATATTTTAATCTGATTTGTGAGCCTGGAAGGAGACACTGAGGGTTCACAGCCTTGCTCCATCCTGCCAGTTTCCCTCTGAGAGCCAGGCTGACTGCACAGTACACCTTCTGTGTCTGTTCCTCCAGATGATAAGCTTCTCGGGGGCATCCGTGACCTGGGACAGCACAGTCTGGCAGGACGCGGGTCAGTATGTCAGCTTCTGTAGGCTAGGCCGAGGACAAATGAAATGTCTGGAATACTGGTGAGAATATTTGGTTGCTTTTAACTAACAAGTCCACTGAGTTGCACATACACCATGAAGCTCGAACATGAGGATGGCAAGTACGGGGCCTAGGCAGGCAGCATGTGATCAGCTACCTAAGTTTGCATTCTGCACCAGGGCCAGAGAGGACACCGAGGAAGGGCTAAGCTTGGATTAGTGTGGCTTGTCTTGACCCCAAATGCACTGCAGCACCCATCTCAAGACGGGAGCCAGATCCTAATGACTCCCAAGCCTGGCCACTGAAATGCACACAGTGTAATGAGAAAGGATCAGGAGTGAACAGA